TCTCCTCATGATGTGGCCAAAGTACTTCAACTTTGTCTCTAGTATCTTTCCCTCCAGTGAGCAGTCGGGCTTTATTTCCTGGAGGATGGACTGGTTGGATCTTCTCGCAGTCCAAGGCACTCTCAGAACTTTCCTCCAACACCACAGCTCAAAAGCATCGATCTTCCTTCGCTCAGCCTTCCCTAAGGTCCAGCTCTCACATCCGTAGGTTACTACAGGGAATACCATGGCTTTGACTAGGCGGATCTTTGTTGCCAGTCTGATGTCTCTACTCTTTACGATTTTATCGAGACTGGACATTGCTCTCCTCCCAAGAAGTAATTAATAGTCCCTTTATAAACCAACTCTTAAGCTGATACTGATCATTGCCTGGCTTTCCTCACAAATTTGGTGGCAGCAGTTTTATGCTCCTTCACAAGGGGCTTCAGCCCCCCCCCCCCCAAATTATCAGGGTGGTCCGTGAGAAGGCCTTACTGGTACATTATTTAAACTGGTACATTATTTAAACTATGCTTATTCATATCATGATCTCATCATAATATATCCCATATGCATGGGGGTATTGGGATAACAATACAAAAGGTTTGCTAGGGTAGATCCTCTCTAACTCAGACTCAGCCCCCCCCCCCCCGAATCAAAGTCCTGACTACGGGCCTGGCCTGCTAAACAGCATGGCAGCTGTACTTCTAAGTATTGACCAAGATTGATCATATTTATCTTCTAAGACAGTGGTTCTCAACCTGTGGGTCCCCAGGTGTTTTTGGCCTACAACTCCCAGAAATCCCAGCCAGTTTACCAGCTGTTAGGATTTCTGGGAGTTGAAGGCCAAAAACATCTGGGGGCCCCAGGTTGAGAACCACTGGTCTATGCATTAATTCTACAGTGTAGGTGAATCTTTGAAGATGGTGTTTTCCATTTGTGCAATTCTAGCATCTGTACACTATAAACCAAATATTCCACCTAGGTTAATGATGCTCCTGCCATGGGCTTAATCTTAATATAACAACTGTCTAATATATGGGGAAAGTGGATTTGGTTTTGCAGGTCAGAGCTGAATGACAACCCGTTTTTGCCACCAACCAAGCACAATTTTCAGTTTTCCCCTTTCTATTCCATTCTCAGCTATTTTGCAAAGGGGACAAATGGCAACCACAGGCAGGGTCGGGTTGTCCATTACGCGAAGTAAGTGGTCGCAGAACACTTTTTTTGCCAGGGGCGCAGAGGCGCCTCTGTAAATGCCCCTCGACTGCCACTTGAGGAGCGCCCCCTCAGCTCACAACAGCCCTCGCAGTCCGGGGGCCCCCGCCTCCTCTCCTCTCCCCAATCCGCGGGTGGGCCAAGGGGCGGAGCCGCCGCGCCTGGCCCGCTTCGGGTCCGGAGGCGTGTCTGAAGACCCCAGCATGCGCACCAAAAGTCGCCTCTTCTCCTGACTTTCTCTTCAGCCATTGGGACCAAGAGAGAGAGAGAGAGAGCCCCTCCGGCTGGAGGTATCTCCCACCTCCGCTCCCTCCTTTGTTTTTGCGCCTACCTTCAGGAAAGGTGGGCATCTCCATCTCTCTCTCTCTCTCTCTCTCTCTCGGTCCCAATGGCTGAGGAGAAAGTTAGGAGAAGAGGTGACTTTTGGTGCACACGCCAGGGTCTTCAGGCACTTGAGGCGCTCTTGGGAAAATAGACCTTGACATATGCGAGTTGTAGTTACTGGGATGTATAGTTCACCTACAATCAAAGAGCATTCTGGACTCCACCAATGATGGAATTGAACCAAATATGGCACACAGAACTCTCATGATGAACAGAAAATATATATCAACAATTGGTTGGGGGGGAGGGCGCCAAAATACTGTTTGCTTACCGTTGAAAATTACCTAGGGCCGCCTCTGATCACAGGCATTCAAAACTAAGAAAGATGATGCTCTTACCTAAATTGTAGCCATCGACATACAGTGGTCCAAACCAGGAGAACAGAAATCCCATAGGTAGGAGGATGGAGAGGACAATATGATTATACAACATGCTGCCTGTTTGATGTGAATACCCAGCGTTGAATAAAGCTACTTTTTAAAGGCTTACACAAGGAAATGTAGGTAGAACAATTAGTCGACAATTAAGGACATTGTGGAGTTGGTCTGTTTACTTCAGAGTAACTCACTGTTCTGCGATAAGTGCTATTCCATTAAAACTAGGGCTAAACTGGAGTCATAAAGCCAATGAGCATCATCTGGACACAACCGGGAAGAGATTAATTCCTATGATATGGCATTGATACAAGCATTATAGTTTGTCATGCATATAGGTATCATCAGGCCTGTAGGGGTTCAAACCCCTCCCAACTTTTTCAGGTTAACATACTTGGATTACTCGTGAATTTTAACTTGTTTACCAAATCCCCATGCTAAGTCTATGAGAAGCAAAAATTAAGAATCCCTCCAGAATGGCAAACACTATCTCAACCAATTTTTGACAATTTATTCACAAAGTCATTTCCTACTTTTCCACCAGTTTACATTGAAAGGGTCTTTGAGTGAAATTAGCAATAGCTAAGCAAGGGGCTTTGAATGAAATTAGCAACAAAGGAGAAAAGTACCCCTTCTCTGTAGAAAAGGAGCAGCATGGAGGAAAATGTTTTAAAAACAAGAGGTGACATGTAGAGGTCATACAAAGTTCAAGCTTACATAGGAAGTTGGGTTGTGGTTAAGCACAAAGTCTGCAGGTGCAAGAAGGTACTTTCCATCAAGAGGTCAAAGTACTTTCAATTGATGAAGGCTTGATGAAAATACATAATACACATATATTTAAATATATTTAATGTAACATATTAGAAAATATATTCTGATGTCATCTCTGAGGCGTCGGGGGGGGAGATCTACGCATTGTTCGTCAGTCTCTGATTCGCCCTTCAGCCTGCATTTTTGTCTGTCTTTCCCGTCGTGTGTACTCCTATTCGGCAGGGGAAATTAGCGTTAGGAGAGGAAAATGAATAACACTTTCTGGTTTCTTTTGCATATGCGTTCGCTCCCTCTGCGTTATCTGCGGTCTGTCTACTGCGGGCCCATCTGTGTTTCTCTCTGGTGTTCTTGTCTCTTTCTT